AGGATCAACGAACTCCACGAAGCGAAAGGAAGATGTACTAGATATTAATTAAATTATAAATATATCAATTCCTGTGAATATGACTGAAAATTTTCATATTTTTTCTGAAAAGGTGATGTCTATTTACTTGTGACCATGCTGTGTATATACTGGTCAGGCGTTCTTAATGGATAACGTGCATAGTATATAGTGTACCAGTCTTTGAACCTAGGATCCGTGGTTCAAGTTCTTTGGGGCCAAGGGTGGGTTATAAGAGTGACAGTCAAGTCACATTATTCGTTGTGTGTGGTTAAGATTAGGGACAGCTAGGAGGGATAGACAGGCCTGTGTAGCTTTCCGCGAATATTCCAAGCAAACAAAGAATTACTTATCAAACCTTTATAAAAGCCAGTGTGTGTCTCGTCACGCTTGATTTCTCGAAATAAGAGGAGTCATAAAAGCCAAAATGCATTTATCCAGATAGAATAGTTCGATTACTGTCTGTCCATTACGATTTTACTAACGGGGTGGGGTGCCGTGAAACCTTGTAAGTGAAGTGAGTGTTGGTATAATAAGCCTAAAGTAAAGACATAGTGTGGGATTACCTAGCTTAGAGCCAAGTGAATACAATTTATCATGAAAGTAAAAATATCGATTCAATTTTAAACCTCAATCATTTCTGAATTAAGCTATTTTCTGTTATATCACCAAAGTTTTAAATGAAAAAACAAACCAAGAAATCAACAAATATTTTTCCAGTTTTGTTGTCTATACATTTCATTTTATAATTTCAGTACATAGACTAACAACAATATTAGGTTATACTTGTGTTGCTAAACAACAGGACATAAAAGCCATTGTTGGAACGTAGTGTTACCAAAACGCACTGGCTTTTCTATATATTAGAAGTTGTTAATCTGACTTATTTTGACTAATAACTAACTATTCTATGAATACACCACGAATTTTTGTATAAATGGTCTTAACTTTGATTGGATCACAAAGGAATTTACCGATGTTTAACTGCCTTGACTGCACTTTTCCTCCTCTTTGTTGGTTAAGCTTGATTTCACAAAAAATATTTATTTCTGTTAGCTATGAAATGTGAGATTAGGATATACTATGGGGTGGGGGTGGTAGTACTTGCCTCGTTGTTTTTGATGGGTTATGTGCTAGTATATACACATATAATTCAGTGTCTATGGTTTACACGTCTCTAGATACTCCTCTAACGTTTCCAGTCCACATAAATAATCAAAACTAGAGACAGTTACGACAGTACCAGACAAAATGAACAAAAGCTGACTCCGAGATGAGGACAAAACTTATGTTTCATGGTGTAAGACGCTGAAAGTTGATGTTACAACCTCAAGAGGGTACCGACCTAACACGATCATGAAGACAAGTGAATCTTAACAAGATATCTAATTTATTGTAATTGTATGTTATAACTTAATGTCCCGCTGTTCCCACAACATTCAGACATGCTTAAGAATGATTCTAGTTTCATTAACATTGAAGAACAGTAATCCCAAGCGTGACTTGCGCATCAAGGAAACATATCACGGACTGCTTCAAGTCGCTTACAAATAGGGAATGCCGCAATGCGTTGGAGGGGATATGTATTTATTTATACACTGATTAGCTAAAGTATGTTTTTCTTATACAAATCAAGTTGGAAATATCCCTCTCAAAGTCGGTAAAAAATACCCTTGTCCCGTGAGTCCCGACATTTAGCCAACCTTCAAAATTGCCATTGAGTCACGGGGACCAATGTTATATTTTTGATGAATGTAACTAGATGATCAAGATTGTCAGAATAAGTTTAAATTAAATAAACCTAAATATTTACAGATGTTTTATAACTTAAGCACGGAACACATAAGATACACCTGGGTAAGTGTATAGAATACTAATAGTAGGATAATACTAAAGAACTAAGCCTAACAAGGTAAAACTGTATGAGTGTATCAAATATTAGTAGTAGGATAATACTAAGAAACTAAGCCTAATAAGATACACCTGGGTAAGTATATAGAATACTAATAGTAGGATAATACTAAAGAACTAAGCCTAACAAGGTAAAACTGTATGAGTATATCAAATAGTAGTAGTAGGATAATACTAAGGAACTAAGCCTAATAAGATACACCTGGGTAAGTGTATAGAATACTGTTGCGTCAGCGAGTCACATGACTAGTGTGACGCCACGTTTCTAGAACTATCCCGTACCTTGGCGAATGCTCTAGTATTTACTAGATATAGGGTAGTCTGGTATATAAAAGAGGGTGACAACGTGACGGGAGGAGAATGTAATGTGTGTGTGTAGATAGTGAGTAATTGAACTGCAGTCATAAGTATTATTGACGTTTGTTGATATAGCGTTTGTTTTAGCGCGATTGTTGAAAATAAGTGTATCGTAAAGTTGTATTCGGAAAGAATA